CCACCGCCGCCCCAACGACGGCTCCGGTGAGGAGTGCGCACCTCCTGTTACAGCAGCCCATCTCTCTCTGCGTGCGCCCGACTGCGTTTCCGCGGTCTCTCTCTTTTTGTGCGCGCCTCCTATCGCAGGCTTCGGCGTCAGCGTTGGCCGATGCCAGGTAGAAGGTGCGCACTTCTCCCCAGAACAACGCTTATATACGCTGAGCCAGGGTTTAATGTTCAGTCAGGCAAGAGGCAGGTATCAGTTGAGGCGATCTGAGCAGTTGATAACCAGTCGAAAGGTTGACAAGAGCAAGTCCCAGGCAAATGCTTAGACAACGCTCATGCGAATAAACATTCCATGCATCGAATAAGATTCCTTCAAATCCTTGTTCGACTCCCTCCTGTTTTGAAGCTTTTGTTCTTCCACTTGCTGAAAAACGGAGGGGGGGTGGATGGATGGATCCAATCCCCATGTGGACTTTTTTTTATTTCACGCAGCGTTATCTGTTAATGTTCGTCAGATTGTGTCTTATCTGGAAGTGCAGTTTGATGAGCGTCAAAACGTGACGTCACCATGTAATTTGGATGGTAGTTAATGCGTTGGGTGCCAGAATGTGACACATGGGCATGTACGCTCTCTTTTTGCCACGAGAGGGCAGCATTAATCGCTGTTTGATGTACAATGGCGAAAGATTTTTTTATTTCACGCAGCGTTATCTGTTAATGTTCGTCAGATTGTGTCTTATCTGGAAGTGCAGTTTGATGAGCGTCAAAACGTGACGTCACCATGTAATTTGGATGGTAGTTAATGCGTTGGGTGCCAGAATGTGACACATGGGCATGTACGCTCTCTTTTTGCCACGAGAGGGCAGCATTAATCGCTGTTTGATGTACAATGGCGAAAGAGACCAGCTTCACCTGTTCCAGTCGAACCATTCTGTTCTTGTGTTTTATTGCCATTAGCTAGTCCGTAGTAGTTTAGTGAACAGAGTTGATCTTTCTAGTATACCTGCTTTTTTTTGGGGTCTGCGTCAAACTAAAAAGGCCGACTTTCTGTGACGAAAGACATCTCCGATTTCTTGGTCACTGGTGATGGGGCCCTTTTATTTATTTTAATTTTGCAGTGTTACAAAAGTTGAGTTTTCTGGCACGGGGACAGTTCATTCTGTTTTAATAGAAATGTTAATTCCGAAGCGGATGTCTGCCCACGGTGCACACAGTAAACCAGTTCGCCTAATCGATCCAAAGCGGGATGCGGTTTTGTGTGCAACACGCTAATCGAATCCTACGCTTCTCGTCGCTTTTTAGCAGACTGTCACAAGACGACCACCAAATGTGCCTGCGGAGAGAAAAAAAAAGCAGAAAGCGCATCGTTGCTTCTGTGCTACTGGGAATTGTTGTCACACCAGCAACCTTTGGACCCACTGTTGACTGTGGAGGCTTGTGCTTGACTTTGTTCCAGCGGCTGAATTATTTAAACCACAAACAATGACTAATGTACGGATGAGCGAGCAGGCAGGGGCGACGGGGCCTGCCGGTGTCACTGCTTGTTCGTATATTTAGTCCTGTGCTGTCGTGTATGTTTCCGTATATTGCAAAAATGCACATCGGTCATCAAATGCAACTGTGCTGTGCGGTAATGTAGAAACAATTCGATTAAATTGTGATGCTTTTGTACTTTGACGGAGAAAAAAAATACTTCTCATCACTCCGCCTAATACAAATCTAATGTGTAAGTGTAAAATGCAATAATTGTGTGCGTGTAATGTTCTTGGCTAACGGGTTTGTTGTTGTTTTCCAGCACATTGACACGTCTTTCTTCAAAATAAAAGCTTAGCACTTTTACGAGCATTACTGTTGAACTGTATCGTTTCATTAACCATTATGCAAAGCTATTAACGTGTATCTGACAACAAAATAACATTGAATGGTAAATTCCACGACGAGTGTAAATGCATGCTACGCTTTCGTTATATTTTATTCCGAAGAAATGAATCGGAAGTTTGCAGTGTCCGTTCGGCACTAGGCTTGCTGTGCATTGGTGGCTCCTCCCCTCGCACACATTTCAACTGCTGCCGCCTCATCGGATGGAGCGGAGCACCAGCGGTTGTTTGGGGCACCGCCGACCATTTTATTACCCGTCAAAGTAGCTCCCATCTCGGAAAAGACCCGTCCAGCATCTCGGTGGTACGGAGGCCCTCTTTTTAGGGTAGAAAGTTCCACCTTCCGTCTCGAAGACATCGAGTGTCTCTTTTTTAATGGGCGTGTGTTAGGTGGCAGTGGCGGGGAGAACATTTTAACCATTTTATGTGGGTTGAGTGAAGACATTTTCGCCGGGCGAGGATGGGCTGCACGCTGAGC